TTCCTCCCTCTTTTCTTTTTTCTTCCTTCCTTCTTTCTTCCTTTCCTTCCATCTCTTCCTTTCCTCCTTTTGTCCCTTTCTTTCTTTCTTTTCCCCTTCCGCCCCTCCTTGTATCAGTCCCTCTCGGTAGTTTTTCTCCTTTCTTCCTTACTCTTTTTGTCCATCCACATTTCTTCCTTTTCTTTTCCTCCTCTTTCTTTTTTCTTCATCTTCTTTCCTCCTTCTTCCCTTTCTTTCTTTTCCTCTTCCCTCCCTCCTTCTTTCTCTTTTTTCTCTCCTCCCTTCCTTCCTTCCTTCCTTCCTTCCTTCCTTCCTTCCTTCCTTCCTTCCTTCCCTCCCTCCTCCCTTTTTTCCCTCTATCTTCTTTCTTCCATCTTTTCCTCCCTCTTTTATTTTTCCTTCTTTCCTTCTTCCTTTCCTTCCATCTCTTCCTTTCCTCCTTCTGTCCCTTTCTTTCTTTTCCTCTTCCCTCCCTCCTTCTGTTAATCGGTCTCTTTTTTCTCCCTCCTTCCTTGCATCTTTCTGCTTCTCCTTCTCTTTCTCTCTCTCTCTCTTTCTTCACATTCACGCACAGGCTTCTCACCTTTGACAAATCCGAATTCAGGATTTCAGACTTTCTCTTCTTCCATCTCAATGGCTCCCACTTCCCCTATCGATTTCTTTTGCTAGTGATCTTTGAACTGTCAATATTGTTTCCTCTCTGGATTCAAATTGAGGACTTTCCAAAAAGTTGAGTAATTTCTGTCCGGAAAGGCTGGCGGTGACAGCACTTTCCCCTCTTTGCGGAATGACCCTCGACTTCTCCGCTTTGTTATAATGTTGGGCCCCAAATCTGCCCTCAAATTATGGGTGGCTGCTAGACATAACATCATACGAAAGCTGACTGGCACAACCTGAGGATCACAACCAGACACAGTGAAGACATCTGCCCTTGAGCTTGGCTACTCTGCTGCTGAGTACAAATGCCCAGTGTGGAACACATCTCACCACGCTAAAACAGTGGATGTGGCTCTTCATGAGACATGACACATTATCACAGGATGTCCCTACACTCTTTACCCAGTATTGCTCCACCTCACATCCGCCAGGAAGTAGCTTTACTTACTTAGGCAATCCCTCGTAGTCCGAGGATGATGGTCCTCCAAGGTCGGTGTTCTGGTGGTGGGTCCGTAGGTGTCTGTGGAGCTCTATTCTTGACCTGCATCATCTTCTACAGTGAGGGGATTGGTTTCCAGACAGAAGGCGGTCCTGGTCGGGGTTGGCTTGACATGCCTTCCTCTTGGCACATTTCTCTCTTTCGCCCTCCATTCGTGCCTCTTCAAATTCTGCAGCACTGCTGGTCACAGCTGACCTCCAGCTGGAGCGCTCAAGGGCCAGGGCTTCCCAGTTCTCAGTGTCTATGCCAGAGTTTTTAAGGTTGGCTTTGAGCCCATCTTTCAAATCTCGTTTTCCATTCTTGAGTTCAGAATAGAGCAACTGCTTTGGGAGACGGTGGTCGGGCATCCGGACAACGTGGCTGGTCCAGTGGAGTTGACGGCGGAGGACCATCGCTTCAGTGCTGGTGGTCTTTGCTTCTTCTTCCAGCTCGCTGACATTTCCCCACTTGTCTTCCCAAGCGATTTGCAGGATTTTTCAGAGGCCGCACTGATGGAATCGTCCCAGGAGTTGCATGTGACGTCTGTAGACTGTCCACGTCTCGCAGGCATATAGCACGGTTGGGAGGACAATAGCTTTATAAACATGCACCTTAGTATCCCTACGGATGTCCCATCCTCAAACACTCTCTGCTTCATTCAGAAAAATGCTGCACTCACAGAGCTCAGGCGATGTCAGGAAGTAGCAGCCAGCAATGAAAGGACATCTCCGGCCCATCATCTGTTTAGATATCAGCAAGCCTTAAGTCAAGAAATAGCTTCCTAAGATCTACAGAGACACTCATAGGAACACTTCAGCAAGCAAGAGTCCAAAAGTGGCAGGCTCAAACCCAGAACCTCAGTCAGTGGCTGAGACCAGATGAGAAACTCCCTCCTGAGCACAGAGGAGACAGGGTTGATGAGGAGATATTGGAAAAATAGATATTTATTTATGTATAAATTGTATGTACTTTACAAGCACTGAAATGTATAGAAAAATCAAGTTCTCTCTGTATAGAAAGAATGCTAACGGATAAGCAAGCTGCTGTCCAGGCACAGCAAGAGAGGGGCTGAAGAGGGGGCATGTTATCTATACATTCCAGGAGAGAGATAAGCAACAGGCTGGTACAACTAGGCTCTAAAAGGCGCCCCCCTCTCCCTCCTGACAGGTCAAAGTTAGGCCCCTTGATTGATGAATGTAAGATGCTTGCTCTTCAGAAACACAGAGACATGCTTTTTGTATGTTGGAAGATAGAATTTGATGCTAAGGTGACACAATGAATGATGTCAATGTATGTAGACGCATGTTCTTTGTTTGCTTGCATTTGGAGACTATAAAAGGGAAAGTCTGCACCTATATCATTGCTCTGGTGCTTTTGGACAGAACTCCTCACCAGAGTCCCAGCTGGAAATAAAATCCGTGCTTTTGAGACCTCCAGACCTCTCTTTGTCTCTTTTCCTGAAACCTTCTCCCTGCCATTGCAGGGCGACTTAGGAGGTGCTGAACAGGCCACACTCTAGCACCACGAGATGCAAATCCAGTCTTAAGAAATGGGGCTACACAATGGAGTCTGCAACATGTGAGTGTGGAGGAGAGCAAACCACAGATCACCTACTACAATGCGGCCTGAGCCCTGCCACATCCACAATGGAAGACCTTCTCACGGCGACACCAGAGGCGCTCCAAGTGGCCAGCTTCTGGTCAAAGGACATTCGGTATAATGTCAAGTTTTTAACTCTGTTTGTGGTTTTTCTATACATTATAGCTGTATTCTCAATTCGCTTCTGACAAGATAAATAAATAAATTAGGTACTTATTTACACCTCACTTTCCTCTCTCAAACAACACCTCTTTGGGCTGAAGCTACAGGAATGGGAAGACATTATAAGGGGGGAAGGGGGAACTTCCCCAACTTCACCCCATTTACCAGGAAAGAGCAACCATTGAGAAAGAAAAGAACCACTTCCCGTTGTTCAAAAGTGCTTTATTTGCTTCAAAAGAGCATTTGATTGACTTCATAGTGACAAGTTTTCTTTAGAGTCACAACCGACGGTTCCTAGGATTCAGTTCTTGGTGGAAAACTAGAACTCTCCAAGTGCAACTTCTAAGTATCACCCTTGAAACCTAGATAGATAGATAGGAAAGAGAGAGAGGATGGATAGACGGATGGATAGCTCGATCGATCGAATGATCGAATGATAGATAGATAGATAGATAGATAGATAGATAGATAGATGATAGATAGATGATAGATAGATAGATAGATGATAGATAGATAGATAGATAGATAGATAGATAGATGATAGATAGATGATAGATAGATGATAGATAGATGATAGATAGATGATAGATAGATGATAGATAGATGATAGATAGATGATAGATAGATGATAGATAGATAGATAGATAGATAGATAGATAGATAGATAGATAGATAGGAGAGAGAGAGGATGGATAGATGGATGGATGGATGGATGGATAGGAGATAACAAATGACAGACAGTTGTAGATGAGAAAGAGAGAGACAACAGATAGCAGATAAATAGATAAGAACAAGAGAGATAATAGACGATAGATAGATATAGGTGGGAAACAGAGAGAGAAAGAGGCATGATCAATAGATAGATAAGAGCAAGAGATGACAGATAGAGACAGGAGAGCGAGAAAACTGTAAATAGATATAGAGAAAGAGGTGAGAGATGATGTATAGATAGATAGATAAATAAATAGGTAGAGGAGGGAGGGAGAGAGAATGGATACATAAATAGAGATGAGATGACAGATAGATGATAGATGGATTGGATGGATAGATGGAAGGATAGATGGATAGATGGATGGATGGATGGATGGATGGATGGATGGATGGATGGATGGATGGATGGATGGATAGATGGATGGATAGATGGATGGATAGATGGATGGATAGATGGATGGATAGATGGATGGATAGATGGATGGATGGATAGAGATGGATAATAGATAGATGGATCGGATAGATAGATAGAAGATAGGATAGGATGGCTATGGATAGACGATAGATAGAGTCTGGTATGCGATGGATGGATGGATGGATAGATGGGTGGATAGATGGATGGATGGGTAGGTAGGTAGGTAGGTGGATGGATGGGTGGATAGATAGGTAGATAGATAGATGGATAGGTAGGTAGATGGATGGATGGGTAGGTAGGTAGGTAGGTGGATGGATGGGTGGATAGATAGGTAGATAGATAGATGGATAGGTAGGTAGATGGATGGATGGGTAGGTAGGTAGGTAGGTGGATGGATGGGTGGATAGATAGGTAGATAGATAGATGGATAGGTAGGTAGATGGATGGATGGGTAGGTAGGTAGGTAGGTGGATGGATGGGTGGATAGATAGGTAGATAGATAGATGGATAGGTAGGTAGATGGATGGATGGATGGGTAGGTAGGTAGGTATGTGCATAGATGGATGGGTGGATAGATAGGATAGAAAGCAGATGGATGGATGAATAGATAGATAGATAGATAGACAATAGAAATAAAGATGGATGGATAGATAGATAGCAGATGGATGGATGAATGGATGGATGGATAGATAGATAGACAATAGATATAATGATGGATGGATGGATAGATAGACAATAGATATAAAGATGGATAGATGGATAGATGGATAGATGGATGGATGGATGGATGGATGGATAGATGGATGGATAGATGGATGGATAGATGGATAGATGGATAGATGGATAGATGGATAGATGGTAGATAGAGAGGAAGGAAGGAAGGAAAGAAAGAAAGAAAGTATAGAGAAATAGCTATATAAAGAGATCGAGAGATAAATGTTAACGTGGCATCAAAGAGCATTAATTCTCCAGGTGCTCTCACGTATGAACTCGAAACAGATTTATTTATCGTGTCAGGAGCAAAACAAACAGTTGTATTGCATTTTAACAAACATACAAAACACAAAGTTTCCAAGCTTGGTAGTTGACCGGTGACCGGTGCCTCCGCCTGTCCAGCTAGCCCTTCAACTCCATTTCGCAGATCCAGTAGAAAGAGCGGGAGCAGTGGTTGTCGTTCCAGGCGCCGTCCGAGGTTAGGTGGACGCAGTCTTCGCCGCCACCAAGATTGTGGCCGTACCAGTGGTCCGGCTGGTTTGGTTGCCAGTCACTGGAAACCGAGGAAAGCAAGAGGAGTCCCCAATGGGTGTTTGTTTTTGCAGGATCAAAGGGAGAAGGGTATATATCATGTATTAGCAAACTTGGGCCCTCCCTCCAGGGGTTGTGGACTCCAACTCCCACCATTCCTAACCACCTCAGGCCCCTTCCTTTTCCCCCTCAGCCGCTTAAGAGGATGGATGGATAGATGGATAGATGGATGGAAGGATAGATGGAAGGATAGATGGAAGGATGGATGGAAGGATGGATGGAAGGATGGATGGATGGATGGATGGATGGATGGATGGATGGATGGATGGATGGATGGATGGATGGATGGATGGATGGATGGATGGAATGGATGGATGGATGGATGGATGGATGGATGGATGGATGGATGGATAGGATGGATAGATGGATAGATGGAAGGATAGATGGATGGATAGATATAGAGAAAGAGGTGAGAGGATGTATAGATAGATAGATAAATAAATAGGTAGAGGAGGGAGGGAGAGAGAATGGATACATAAATAGAGATGAGATGACAGATAGATGATAGATGGATTGGATGGATAGATGGAAGGATAGATGGATGGATGGATGGATGGATGGATAGATGGAGGGATAGATGGATGGATGGATAGATATAGAGAAAGAGGTGAGAGGATGTATAGATAGATAAATAGGTAGAGGAAGGAGGGAGAGGGAATGGATACATAGAGATGAGATGACAGATAGATGATAGATGGATTGGATAGATGGATGGATGGATGGATGGATGGAGGGATAGATGGATGGATGGATGGATGGATGGATGGATGGATGGATGGATAGATGGAGGGATAGATGGATGGATGGATGGATGGATGGATGGATGGATAGATGGATGGATGGATGGATAGATGGATGGATAGATGGATGGATAGATAGATGGATAGATGTAAGGATAGATGGAAGGGGCCTGAGGCGGTTAGGAATGGTGGGAGTTGGAGTCCAAAACCCCTGGAGGGAGGGCCCAAGTTTGCCCATGCTTAGTGTAGATAAGCCCAATTCAACTCACTCTCTATTAATCGTATAGGACGAGCCGTCCACCCATTTCCACTCTCCGGTGACATCTGTCAATCCAATCCAAGTCGAACTGCTCCTCCGTTGATATATAAATCTCTAAAATGGATCCAAAACAAGTTAATATGATCTATAGATCCATACCGCCCCCCTTCCAAGGCAAGGAATTCGGACCAAGCTCAGCCTGCTTTTACCTTCTCCTCGGGCGAGTTGAAGATCAACATGTGTGAATTCTTCCTTTCGCAGTTGCGCTTGGCGTTCTCCCAAGATAACGTCCCAGAAGACATCCAGTAACAGCTCTCCTGAAACTGCAGCCAGTTTTTGGGGCAGCAGCCACTTCTGGTGCCTATGGAAAGGGTAGGAAATAGCCAGGGAACCACAGAATCCTATGGAAGGGACCCCCAAAGGGCATCCAGTCTCACCCCATTTCTGTCTGGCAGAGAGACACAATCCAAGCTCTCCCAACAGACCATCCATAGCATTATATAACCTTATGGAAGGGACCCCCAAAGGGCATCTAGTCTGACCCCATTTCTTCCTGCCAGAGAGATGCAATACAAGCCCTCCCGACAGACCATCCATTGCATAATATAAACCTATGGAAAGGACCCCCAAAGGGCATCCAGTCTGACCCCATTTCTGTTGGGCAGAGGGACACCATCCATAGCATTATATAATCTTATGGAAGGGACCCCCGAAGGACATCTAGTCTAACCCCATTTCTGTCTGGCAAAAAGACACAATCCAAGCCCTCCCAACACACCATCCATTGCATAATATAAACCTATGGAAAAGGCCCCCAAAAGGCATCCAGTCTGACCCCATTTCTGCCTGGCAGAGAGATGCAATACAAGCCCTCCTGACAGACCATAGCATTATATAATCTTATGGAAGGGACTCTCAAAGGGAATCCAGTCTGACTATCTTCTTCTAGGCAGGAAGACACAATCAAAGCCCACCCAGCAGATGGCCATTCAGACTCTGCTTGAAAACCTCTAGAGAAGGAGACTGTCGGACTGTGGACCCTAGTGTTGGAAGGAACCCTCAAAGGTCATCTAGTCTGACCTCAGAGATCAAATCTATTTGAGGGAACATTTGTTTTACCATTGCTTCTCATTTCAACCAGAGCACAGTGAAATGATTTCGAGTCTTGCTGCAAAGTGTCCAGCTGTTCTTCGAATAGTTTATTGGCTAGGAAGGAAAGAATGTGGAAGGCTTGTCAACGTTCAGTATCTACTATTATTACCATTACAAAATTTGTTGTATACACACACACACACACACACACACACACACTACATACACACACATAGATGCATATATATATATTACTTATCTGGAATGTCAAAATTTGAAATGCACCATAATTGTCTACCTTTGAGGCTGAGAGAGTGGCACCTTTACTTTCAGATAGCAATGCATGCAAAATTTACTTAATGTACATTTAAAAAATATTGTGTACAAAGTGATCATCAGGCAATGTGTGTGTGTGTGTGTATCTCAAAGAGAAATCTATATAAATAAAAATATAATGTTAGTTTGTGGGATTAACATAACGCAAAAACCACTGGGCAAATTGACACAAAATTTGGACACAATACACCTCATAGTCCAATGAGTGTCCATCACCCCTAACACACACACACACACACACACACACAAAAACCCCAGTGGAACAAACTTAAAAACCCAAAAATACACCTCATATACATATACACATACAATCATATATATATACACATGCACACATTCATACACAAACACACACACATATATGTGCACAAACACACACAAATATACACATATATACATATACACATGCACACACAAATATACATATATACACACATATACATATACAATCATATACATATACACATGCACACATTCATACACAAACACACAAATATATATATGCACAAACACACACAAATACACACATATATACATATACACATGTACACACAAATCTACATATATCCACACATATGCACATACAATCATACACATATACACATGCACACATTCATACACAAACACACATATATATATGCACAAACACGCACAAATATACAAATATATACATATACACATGCACACAAAAATATACATATATACACACATATACATATACACATACGATCATATACATATACACATGCACACATTCATACACAAACACACACATATATATATGCACAAACACACACAAATATACACATATATACATATACACATGCACACACAAATATACATATATACACACATATGCATATATACATACAATCATATACATATACACATATTCATACACAAACACACATATATATGCACAAACACACACAAATATACAAATATATACATATACACATACACACAAAAATATACATATATACACACATATACATATACAATCATATACATATACACATGCACACATTCATACACAAACACACATATATATACACAAACACACACAAATATACACATACATACACACATATATACATATACACATGCATAGACAAATATACATATATACACACATATACATATACATACATACACACATATGTATGTATACATATGTATGTATACATACACACATATGTATGTATATACATATACATACATACACACATATATATACACAAATATGCATATAGGCAAGTGCACACATATACCCAATATGCATGTACTCACACACACACACACACACACATATATATATATATATATATATATGCAAACACACACATATATGCACACACAAAACACATATACACCGACTGGGCCACAGCAACGCGTGGCAGGGGACGGCTAGTATATAATAATAATGTTATGTATCAAATAATAAAAATAATAACAACAATAGCAATATAATAATAATAATAATAATAATAATAATAATAATAATAATGTTTGGACTTGGGTCCCATCTGCTAGGATGCATCTACACTGCGGAATTAATGCAATTTGACACCACTTCAGTGCTATGGAATCCTAGGAGCTGTAGTTTACAAACATTGGCAGAGAAGACTAAAGACCTTGTAAAACTACAAGGATTCTGGTGCCATGGCAGTTCAAGTGGAGTCAAAACTGTATTAACTCTCCAGTGTAGATGCAACCTAGGATTCCGGCAAAAGCGTTTAGCTTCTATCCATAGCTTTCGAACTTTACTCCTCTTTGGAACGACAAGTACGGTAACTTATCGCTCCAACGACTGGCTGTTCGGCCGCTCACCTTTCTTCATCTTCTCATTACGATCCGTCAGAATCTTCTCCAGCGATTTCAGCTTCCATCCTGTGGTGTTTCCTGGAATTGGCAATGCAAGTGGAGGATGGGATAGCAAGTCATGGGCTCCCAAAGAACACACAACTCAACTCTCTTCTTGGGGTGCATCCACACTGCAGAATTAATGCAGTTTTGACACCACTTTAACTGCCAGGGCTTTGTGATATGGAATCTTAGGAGTTGCAGTTTGCTCAGGCACCAAAACCTGCAAATCCCAGGATTCCATAGCAGTGAGGCAGGGCAGTTTAAATGGTGTCAAAACTGCAATAATTCTACAGTGTAGATGCACCCTAGGAGTTGTCTGGAAAATTTAAAAGGGACTTTTGGATCCCATAATGCATTGCTTACTTTTGTTACGAAGGCCATTTAGTCCTGTCCAAACTGTCTGGTTGAAGCTTTTGATGGCTTCCATGGCCCCCCATTTCTCTGAATTGAGCTGGACTCCTGGAGAAGAAGAAGAAAGAGAGGAAGGAAGACTCAGATTCCCACCTGGCACACCCTTGCACACTTATGCACCTTCATGTAAACCTTTGCACTCACACTTGCTGTGCTTCCAGTACTTGAACTGCCCTAGCTCCATGCTATGGAATCCTGGCAGTTATAGTTTGGAGAGGGCACAAGCACTCTTGGGCAGAGAAGGCGAAAAAACTAGAGAAACTACAACTCCCAGTATTGCAGAGCCATGGCAAACTACATCAATTTGTTTAGGCAAATGAGAGAAAGAAAGATTATAGATAGAGATGATAGATAGATAGAGATGATAGACAGATGATAGAGATAGATACACAAATAGATGATAGATAGACAGACAGACAGATGATAGAGATAGGTACACAAATAGATGAGATAGATAGATAGATAGATAGATAGATAGATAGATAGATAGACAGACAGACAGACAGACAGACAGACAGACAGACAGACAGACAGATAGATAGATAGATAGAGATAGGGATGATAGAGATAGATAGATAGATAGATAGATAGATAGATAGATAGATATGACAGATAGATAGATAGAGATGACAGATATATAGATAGAGATAGATAGATATAGAATGACAGATAGAGATGATAGAAAGAGAAATAGAGAGAGAGAGAGACAGAGAGAGACAGAGAGATAGATGGAGAGATAAATAGATAGGGATGATAGATAGATGATAGAGATAGATATGATTGATTGATTGATTGATAGATATATAAATAGACATATATAGAGAGAGATTATAGACAGAGATAGATGATTAAAAATAGAGATATATAGATAGAATTATAGATAGATAGATGGATGGATGGATAGATAGATAGATAGATGGATGATAGGATTGATAGGACTGATAGATATATAAATAGACATATATATAGAGAGAGAGATTATAGAGAAAGAATAGATAGGGATGATAGATCAATAGCTCGATAGAGATAGATGATAGATAAATATATAGAGATAGATAGAAATGATTGATTGATAATAGGCAGATATATAAATAGAAAAAGATATAGATGATAGATATATAGAGACAGATTCTAGATAGACCCATAAGATAGATAGATAGATAGATAGATAGATAGATAGATAGATAGATAGATAGAGACAGATGCTGGATAGATCTGACAGACAGGCAGTAAATGAGACAGATAATAAGTAGATCTATAGACCCATCTAGACAGACAGACACAGCTGGTGACAGATAGATAATACACAGACAGATGATGGATCATTAGACACAGACAACTGACACATTAGATAGATAGATACAGATAGATAGAGTTGATAGATCAGGCATGGGCCAACTTCGGCCCGCCCTGCAGGTGGACTCCAATTCCCACAATTCTAACATCCTACTGGCTATTGGGAATTGTGGGAGTTGAAGTCCAAAACACCTGGAGTGCCCAAGTTTGTCCATGCCTGTGATAGATAGAGATAGATGTTAGATAGACCCATCTGATAGATAGGAGCTTGAGACAGATAATAGGTAAGTAGGTCAATAGACCGATATAGCTGACAGATAGATGATACATAGCTAAATGATGGATAGTTAGACACAGATAGCTGGTAGGATAGATATAGATAGATAGATAGATAGATAGATAGATAGATAGATAGCCTACAGCACCCAGTATTCCCAGGTGGTCTCCCATCCAAGTACTAACCAGACCCGACCATGCTTAGCTTCCGAGATCAGACAAGATCGGGAGTGTTCAGGGTGGTATGGCAGTAGGTAGATAGACAGATAGATGGATAGATAGATAAATATGATAGATAGATAGATAGATAGATAGATAAGGATGATGGTTGATAGATAGATAAATATGATTGATATATATACAAATAGAGATATATAGAGAGAGGTTATAGATAGAGATAAATAGATAGATAAGGATGATAGATAGATAGATAGATAGATAGATAGATAGATAGATAGAGATAGAGATAAATAGATAGGGATGATAGATAGATATGATTGATATATACATATACAAATAGAGAGATATATAGAGAGATTATAGATAGAGATAAATAGATAGATAGGGATGATAGATAGATAGAGATAGATAGATAGAGATGATAGATAGAGATAGAAATAGATAGATAGATAGAGATAGATAGATAGATGATAGATATAGATAGATAGATAGATAGATATGATTTATATATATATATATACACACACACATACACACACAAATAGGGATATATAGAGATTATAGAGATAAATAGATAGGGATGATAGATAGATAGATAGATAGATAGAAATAGATAGGAATGATAGATAGATGATAGATAGATAGATAGATAGATAGATAGATAGATAGAAAGATAGATAGATAGATAGATAGATAGATAGATAGATAGATAGATAGATAGGATTGATTGAGTGATATATAAACAAATAGAGATATACAGAGAGGGGTTATAGAGATAGATAGATAAGGATGATAGATAGATAGATAGATAGATAGATAGATAGATAGATAGATAGATAGAGATGATGATGATGATAGATAGATAGATAGGGATGATAGGTAGATTACACATCTATTTGTGTATATATCAATAATATCTATCTATCTCTATAGATAGATATGATTGATATATATACAAATAGATATATATAGATTATAGATAGAGATAATTAGATAGGGATGATAGAGATAGATAGATCGCATTAATGCCACAATAAAGATGCACCCTGAGAAAAGAGGTGAACTTGCAAACCCCTTCTGCTCACGTGGCCCATTCCATGGAACAGCAGCAGCAGCAGATGATGGGATGTGTAATCCCTTCCTTGGTCCCATTCACCCACCTTGGAAACCGAGGGCGACCACGGAAAGGGTGAGGATGGAACAGGCGGCCATCAGGGCCAGGACCAGGCGGCTGGTGGGGCAGATGCGGCGCCAGGAGGACTGGGTCAGCGGAGGTGCTGCAAGTGGGACAAGGCAAGAAAGGCGTGTTATCTCGACCGTCCGAAATCCCATCAACCCCAGGAGGGTTGGACCAGATGACCTTCAGGGATCCCTTCCAGTATGAGAATGACAGCACCTGTTATACCTTTCCAGGAGGATGGCCCACTTTCATCTCCTTCCTCCATGGACCTGAGGTCTTGGTAATCCGCGGCCGTTGAAGGCGGATCATCCAAAGTGGGTGAACTGGAAAAGACAGAAGAAAGATTGGAGGGCATCTATATTGGAGACTTAATGCAGTTTGATCCCACTTTAGCTACCATGGCTCAATGCTGTGGAGTCATGAGAGTTGAGAGTCTGATTTGGTACTCTTTGACAGAGAAGGTGTAAAACAGGCATGGGCAAACTTGGACCCTCCTGGTGTTTTGGACTTCAACTCCCACAATTCCTAAAAGCCGGTAGGCTGTTAGGAATTGTGGGAGTTGAAATCCAAAACAACTGGAGGGCCCAAGTTTGCCCATGCCTGCCATAACACCTTGTGGAACTACAACTCACTGGCTGTTAGGAATTGTGGGAGTTGAAATCCAAAACACCTGGAGGGCCCAAGTTTGCCCATGCCTGGCATAAGAACTTGTGGAACTACAACTCACTGGCTGTTAGGAATTGTGGGAGTTGCAGTCCAAAACACCTGGAGGGCCCAAGTTTGCCCATGCCTGGCATAAGCCCTTCTGAAACTACAACTCACCGGCTATTAGGAATTGTGGCAGTTGAAGTCCAAAACACCTGGAGGGCCCAAGTTTGCCCATGCCTGGCATAAGCCCTTGTGAAACTGGCTATTAGGAATTGTGGGAGTTGAAGTCCAAAACACCTGGAAGGCCCAAGTTTGCCCATACCTGATGTAAATGCATTAGGAATTTTGGGAGTTGTAGTCTGAAACACCTGGAGGGCCCAAGTTTGCCCATACCTGATGTAAATGCGTTAGGAATTGTGGGAGTTGTAGTCAAAAACACCTGGAGGGCCCAAGTTTGCCCATACCTGATGTAAATGCATTAGGAATTGTGGAAGTTGTAGTCCGAAACACCTGGAGGGCCCAAATTTGCCCATACCTGATGTAAATGCATGAGGAATTTTGGGAGTTGTAGTCGAAAACACCTGGAGGGCCCAAGTGTAACCATAACCGATGTAAACGCTTTAGGAATTGTGGGAGTTGTAGTCCAAAACACCTAGAGGGCCCAGGTTTGCCCATGCCTGGTGTAAATGCATTAGGAATTGTGGGAGTTGTAGTCAAAAACACCTAGAGGGTCCAAGTGTAACCATAACCGATGTAAATGCATTAGGAATTGTGTGAGTTTTAGTCCAAAAAACCTGAAGGGCCCAAGTTTGCCCATGCCTAGCATAAGACCTTGTGAAACTACAACTCACCGGCTGTTAGGAATTGTGGGAGTTGAAGTCCAAAACACTGGAGGGCCCAAGTTTGCCCATGCCAGGAATAAGACCTTGTGGAACTACAATTCACCAGCTGTTAGGAATTGAAGGAGTTTAAGTCAAAAACACCTGGAGGGCCAAAATTTGCCCATGCCTGGCATAAGACCTTGTGGAACTACAACTCACCGGCTATTAGGAATTGTGGGAGTTGAAGTCCAAAACACTGGAGGGCCCAAGTTTGCCCATGCCAGGAATAAGACCTTGTGGAACTACAATTCACCAGCTGTTAGGAATTGCAGGAGTTTAAGTCAAAAACACCTGGAGGGCCAAAGTTTGCCCATGCCTGGCATAAGACCTTGTGGAACTACAACCCCCAGGATTCCATAGCAAGCAACAGGGAAGATTAAAGTGGGACCAATCTGTATTAAACCATCTACGCAGGTGCACCAGACCCAACGTGCTGGCTGGTTCTTCCCAATTTGGTGGGCTACTTACTTTACCCCAATCCCCCAAGTCGGTGGGCTACTTACTTTACAACTGAGGTTGCCATTTTGCAGTGTGGCTTGACCCTTCTGTCTGAATCCTGTCGTCCGGCAACACCGCAATGTCAGCGCTCGGGTCCTTCCACCGTCCAGAGGGCAAAGTTTAGCGGAATCGATTTCTCAACCCGGGTTCATTCCCTGGGGCCTCCCTCGCAGGGCTGTTGGGAAGGGACTGCAAAGACAGGAAGGCATCACAAACTGCACAAACTTTGTTTTTGTGGGAGGGACATCATGCTGCTATTGATCATTTTGCTCTAGGTTTTCAATAAATATTGAGTCTCAAACACCGCAACATAGTTTGTGCCACGGAAACAAAGTTTCTGGAGCAATAATAGTAAAGGTTTTCCCCTGACATTATGTCCTGTCGTGTCCAAAGTGCCGGCGTTGTCCATAGACACCTCCAAGGTCATGACTGGATTTACATTAAATCCAGTCATGTCCGAAGAGTCGGCATTGTCCGTAGACACCTCCAAGGTCATGTGGCCAGCATGACTGCATGGAGCACCGTTACCTTTCATTAAATCCAGTCGTGTCTGAAGAGTCGGCATTGTCCATAGACACCTCCAAGGTCATGTGGCCGGCAGGACTGCATGGAGCACTGTTACCTTACATTAAATCCAGTCGTGTCCGAAGAGTCGGCGTTGTCCATAGACACCTCTAAGGTCATGTGGTCGGTATGACTGCATGGCGCACCCTTACCTTCCTGCCAAGGTGGAACCTACTGATCTACTCAGTAGGTTTGCATGTTTTCAAACTGCTGGGTTGGCAGAAGCTGGGGCTAACAGCAGGAGCTCACCCCGCTCCCCAGATTCGAACCACCAACCTTTCGGTCAGCAAGTTCAGCAGCTCAGCAGTTTAACCCACTGTGCCACTGGGGGCTCCATAATAATAATAATACTAGTATGAGTTATAGTAATAATAATTATATAATATAATAATATTATATTATTAATAATAGTATACTAATTGTAATAATAATAATACTTTATTATTATCTCTTCCCAAAGGGACTCTGGGCAGCTTCCATAGACAACAATAGCAAACCTTCAATGCCACGTGCAATGACAAAAATAGAAATAAAGCAGAAACAAGCAAACAATTAAAGAATAGGTTGTTGTAGGTTTTTTCGGGCTATATGGCCATGTTCTAGAGGCATTCTCTCCTGACATTTCGCCTGCATCTATGGCAAGCATCCTTAGAGATTGTGCGGATGCTTGCCATAGATGCAGGCGAAACGTCAGGAGAGAATGCCTCTAGAACATGGCCATAAGGCCCGAAAAAACCTACAACAACCCAGTGATTCCGGCCATGAAAGCCTTCGACAATAAATTAAATAATAATCATACTAAAACAACTAGTTTCAAACTAAGGACCGCACAAGTAAAGAGGAAGCAACACTTTCAAACCAGGAAAAGAACCTCTGAGGATGCCTGCCATAGATGTGGGCGAAACATCAGGAGAGAATGCCTCTAGAACATGGCCATAAGGCCCGAAGAAACCTACAACAACCCAGTGATTCCGGCCATGAAAGCCTTCGACAATAAATTAAATAATAATCATACTAAAACAACTACTTTCAAACTAAGGACCGCACAAGTAAAGAGGAAATGACACTTCGAACCAGGAACAAAACCTCTGAGGATACCTGCCATAGATGTGGGTGAAACATCAGGAGAGAATGCTTCTGGAATATGGCCAGACAGCCCGGAAAACTCACAGCAACCCAGGAACAGAATATTTTCCAAACATGGGAAGATAATCAAGCCTATGTCTGACTGCAGAACCTTTGCTCTGTCAATATTATTTCTCTGGACAGGAAGCAAACGTTTCAAAACAAACATGCTGGGAGTTGCAGTCCATTTGCAACATGACTGCAGGAATCCAGGGCTCAATGCGGGGACCTTTAAAAGCTTTACCTGTGGAGTTCCCACCTGTCAGTACATCAAGGAGGGGAAGGGAGGGGCCAGGTGTTAATCCCATGTAGGTGGGTGAATAGAAAGGAGTATAAAGGTGAGCTATAGGTGGGCTGGCCGCCTGCTTGAATGCCAGCCAGTGCAATGTGGGTCTTGCTGTTCTTCCTGGGGGGCTGCCTGCACCATTGGAGTCTTGCCCAGTTTTGGCCACCACCATGGAAGGAGGGGCAAGCAGACACTGACCTTTGGGCATCCACCCCGCGGCCGAGGGCCACCCCCCACGCTGTGAGGGTCACCTGTGAGCCTGACCGAGTGGTCGTTGCTGCCCACCGGGACCTCTTTGGGGTGGGCAGGCTGGTGGCCCCCGCTGACCTGGCCCTGGGGGTTGCCCGCTGCCGCCCAACGGCCTTTGACTCTGTGGCCAACAAGGTGGTCTTTGAGGCCGGCCTCCACGAATGCGGCAGCACCGTCCAGGTATGGTTTAGTTGAGATTCGAACCCCTGATTCAAACCTTCCTAAAGGGAGTTTTTCTAAGGCTGAGAGTGTGTGACGTCACCCAAAATCACCTAGACCAGTGTGTCACAACCTTTCTAATGCTGCGACCCCTTAATACATTTCCTCATGTTGTGGTCGCCCCTGACCATCACATTATTTACGTTGCTACTTCATAACTGTAATTTTGCCGCTGTTTTGAATCATAATGTAAATATCTGATATGCAGGATATATTTTCATTCACTGGACCAAATTTGGCACAAATACCCGATATGCCCAAATTGAATACTGGTGGGGTTGGGGGTGGATTGATTTTGTCATTTGGGAGTTGTAGTTGCTGGGATTTATAGTTCACCTACAATCAAAGAGCATTCTCAGCTCCAATGATGAAATTGGCACACAGGACTCCCAGGAACAACAGAAAATACTGGAAGGGTTTGGTGGGCATTGACCTTGAGTTTGGAAGTTGTAGTTCACCTGCATCCAGAGAGCACTGTGGACTCAAACAATGATGGCTCTAGACCACTGGTCCTCAACCTGTGGGTCCAAAACAACCAGGTGTTTTGGCCTTCAACTCCCAGAAATCCTCACAGTTGCTAAACTGGCTGGGATTTCTGGGAGTTGTAGGCCAAAAACATCTGGGGACCCCAGGTTGAGAACCACTGCTCTAGACCAAAGTTGGCACGAATCCTCAATATGACCAAATGTGAACACTGGTGGAGTTTGGAGAAAATAGACCTTGACAATTGGGAGTTGTAGTTGCTGGGATTTATAGTTCACCTACAATCAAAGAGCATTCTGAACTCCACCAAGAGTGGAATTGAACAGATCTTGGCACACAGAACTCCCATGACCAACAGAAATTACTAGAAGGATTTGGTGGGTATTGATCTTGAGTTTTGAAGTTGTAGTTCTCCTACATACAGAGAGCACTGTGGACTCAAACCATGATGTATCTGGATCAAACTCTACACCAATACTCAATATGCACAAATGTGAACACTGATGGAGTTTGGGGAAAATAGCCCTTGACATTTGGGAGTTGTAGTTGCTGGGATTTATAGTTCACCTACAATCAAAGCGTATTCTCAACTCTAATGATGAAATTAAACCAAACTTGTCACACAGAATTCCCACGACCAACAGAAAATACTGGAAGGGTTTGGTGGGCATTGACCTTGAGTTTGGACGTTGTAGTTCACCTGCATCCAGAGAACACTATGGACTCAAACAATGATGGCTCTAGACCAAACTCTACACAAATACTCAATATGCCCAAATGTGAACACCGGTGGAGTTTGGGGAAAATAGATCTTGACAATTGGGAATTGTAGTTGCTGGAATTTATAGTTCACCTACAATCAAAGAGCATTCTGAACTCCAATGATGAAATTGAACCAAACTTGTCACACAGAACTCCCAGGACCAACAGAAGGAAGAATTTGGTGGGCATTTGACCTTGAGTTTGGAAGTTGCAGTTCACCTGCATCCAGAGAGCACTGTGGACTCAAACAATGATTGATCTGGAACAAACTTGGCACGAATGCTCAATATGCCCATATGTGAACACTGGTGGAGTTTGGGGAAAATAGCCCTTGACATTTGGGAGTTGTAGTTGCTGGGATTTATAGTTCACCTACAATCAAAGTGCATTCTGAACCCCACCAACAATAGAATTGGGATAAACTTCTCACATGGAACTCCCATGATCAACAGACAATACTGTGTTTTCTGATGGTCTTTGGCGACCCCTCTGACATGCCCTTGTGACCCCCACCCCAGGGGTCCCATCCCCCAGATTGAGAAACGCTGATCTAAATCCACTTCTTTCCTTTCCAGATGACTCCAGACTTGCTGATCTACCGGACCAGCCTCTTCTATACTCCGTCTCTGGCCCACAACCCCATCATCATCAGGACCAATGCGGCCGAGATCCCCATTGAGTGTCGCTACCCCAGGTACTCATCCTGAGATGCGTGTCGCAATCTTTTGTTGAGAGGTGTTTGTTGAGAAGATTACTCCAGGCACTGCCAGGCCATCAAATGCTAATCAAAGTGGTCAGTTGAAACATTCACACCTAGCTCCAGCAGACAAGAGTTCTTTGTCCCACCCTGGTCTTTCCACAGATATATAAACCCTTTTTCCTGGTTTCAACAGACCTCACTACCTCTGAGGATGCTTCCCATAGATGCAGGCGAAACGTCAGGAGAGAATGCCTCTAGAACATGGCCATATAGCCCGAAAAAACTTACAACAACCTTGTTCATCATTGGCAGAAATGTATCCAATTGTCTGGTGATTGTGCGGAAAAGTGAATAGTGGTTGTTAAAGAGCACTATTATCTAAGGATTATTTCTGCGTTTGATTTATTAAAATGTTCCCATCCAAACCCAAGTAACGAAGGTGGAGGCATTACTTTTCATTCAACCCTCGTATAATCAAGGACAAGGCTGGAGAAGTGAGCCTGCCAGGGTAAAGGTACTGATTATTAAAGAGCTGGAAGGGACCCCCAAAGGTCATCTAGTCAAACCTCCTGCTTAATGCACAATCTCCTTGTATAATAAAGAGCAAGGATGGAGAAGCCAGCATACAAGGGCAAGGGTCCCCAAAGGCCATCTAGTCCAACCTCCTGCTTGGTGCTGGATATCCATTCTAAGGATAACAAAGGGCAGGAATGACCGAAGGACAGAAGCCAGCAGGCAAGGGTAAGGGTCCTAGTGTTCAAACAGGTGGAAGAGAGCCCCAAAGATCATCTAGTCCAGTGGTTCCCCAACCTTCCTAATGCCGCGACCCCTTAATACAGTTCCTCATGTTGTGGTGACCCCCAACCATAACATTATTTTTACTGCTACTTCATAACTGTAATTTTGCTCCTGTTATGAATCGTCATGTAAATATCTGATATGCAGGATGCATTCTCATTCATTGGAACAAATTTGGCACAAATACCTGATATGCCCAAATTTGAATACTGCTGGGGTTGGAGGGAGGGGATTGATTTTGTCATTTGGGAGTTGTAGTTGCTGGGATTTATAGTTCACCTACAATCAAAGAGCATTCTGAACTCCACCAATGATGGAATTGAACCAAACTCGCTACACAAAACTCCCATGACCAACAGAAAATACTGCAATATGGCCATGCTCCTCTAGAACATGGCCATATAGGCCGAAAAAACCTACAACAACCCAATACTGCAAGGGTTTGGTGGGCATTTACCTTGAGTTTGGGAGTTGTAGTTCACCTACATCCAAAGAGGACTATGGACTCAAACAATGGTGGAGCTGGACCAAATACAAAATATGCCCAAATGTGAACACTGGTCAAGTTTGGGGAAAATAGATCTTGATATTTGGGAGTTGCAGTTGCTGGGATTTATAGTTCAGCTACAATRCAAGAGCATTCTGAACCCCACCAATGATAGAATTGGGCCAAACTTCCCACAAGAACGCCTATGACCAACTGAAAATACTTTTTTTTCTGATGGTCTTTGGCGACCCCTATAACACCTCCTCGTAACCACCCCCCCCCCGGGGTCCCGACCCCCAGGTTGAGAAACACTGAACTAGTCCATTAGAGGACAATGTGGTTGGTAATGGATGAATATCAGGGTTCTTGGGTGCTTCCTTTGCAGGAAGGGCAACCTCACCAGCCGAGCCATCAGGCCCACCTGGGCTCCGTTCCGGTCTACCATATCGGCCGAAGCAAGGTTGAGATTTTCGTTACGTTTGATGAAAGGTAAAGAAGAGATTTGATCCTCTCTGTGGGTGCATCTGCACTGCCGAATTAAGGCAGTTTGGCACGGCTTTAACTGTCATAGCTCAGTGCTATGGAATCCTGGAATTGTGGGAAGCCTCATGGCATTCCTCTGTTGTCAAACTTTTAAAGCGTCCTGGTTTCCTCCGTTGTCCTTCCCCCTTGGCCCTCAGCATACGTCAATTGCTGCAAAATACAGAAGTATTCTAACTTAACCTTAACTACTGAAAAATTATATTGTAAAGTGTTTTCTTTTTCAATTCAGACGACTGGAGTGCGGAGAGGACCTCGACTCATTTCCAGCTTGGAGAGACCCTGCGGCTTCAGGCTGACGTCCGCTCCGAAAACCACTTTCCCCTGAGGCTTTTTGTGGACAGCTGTGTGGCCGGATCGAGCCCCGAAGCCACTTCAGCGGCTCGATATGCTGTTGTTGACTCTCATGGGTAAGGCTGCTTTGTGGCAAGGAGACTCGGATTATGTCCTCCCTCCTGGCAGAGATTGGGTCAGACTGGGTGACCTTTGAGGTCTCCTCCTGAAAGGGTCTTTGTGTGAAATTTGCAAATGCTAAGCAAGGGGCTTTGAATGAAATTAAGAGCAAAAGGGAAATATACCCTTTCTCTGTAGAAAAAGAGCAACATGGAAGAAAATGTTTTAAAGAAACAAGATGTGACATGTAGAGGTCATACAAAGTTCAAGACTACATAGGAAGTTGTGTTGTGGTTAAGCCAAAGGTTGTGGTTAAGCGCAGAGTCTGCAGGTACAAGAAGGTACATTGGGATGTGTTCTTGGGAGACCAAGAACACATCCCAAAGGCTGTAATGACTTCCAATGCCTGGCCTAAGGAAACCCTATGAAACATATAGGGTCTCCAAAGGTCCGAATGCATCAAATCCTGCCTAAGCAGGGTCAGCCCCGGTTGACACTTGGATGGGAGACCAAGAACACATCCCAGAGGCTGTAATGACTGTCAATACCTGGCCTAAGGAAATCCTATAAAATTTATGGGAGCTCCAAAGGCCTGAATGCATCAAATCCTGCCTGAGATGGAAGCTAACCAGGGTCAGCCCTGGTTAACACTCGGATGGGAGACCAAGAACACATCTCAGAGGCTGTAATGACTTCCAATGCCTGGCCTAAGGAAACCCTATGAAATCTGTGGGAGCTCTAAAGGCCCAAATGCATCAAATCCTGCCAGAGATGGAAGCTAAGCAGGGTCAGCCCTGGTTGATGCTTGGATGGGAGACCAAGAACACATCCCAGAGGCTGTAATGACTTCCAGTGCCTCGCCTAAGGAAACCCTATGAAACATATGGAGTCTCCAAAGGCCCAAATCCTGCCAGAGATGGAAGCTAAGCAGGGTCAGCACTGGTTGACGGTTGGATGGGAGACTAAGAACACATCCCAGAGGCTGTAATGACTTCCAGTGCCTGGCCTAAGGAAACCCTATGAAATCTATGGGAGCTCCAAAGGCCCGAATGCATCAAATCCTGCCAGAGATGGAAGCTAAGCAGGGTCAGCCCTGGTTGATGCTTGGATGGGAAGCCGTCAACAAAGAGCTGAGCCTGCAAGTGATATTTCAAGAAGACCTTACAACACAGGGATCCATAGCATGGGGACATGGCAGTTAAAGTGGTGCTAAGATGGATTAATTCTGCTATGTAGACATCCTTGTTTTCCTAGTTGGGTATGATACCCTTTCCTAGAAGGGTATCATACCCTTTCCTAGAAGGGTATTGTGATTATGATTAATATACAATATCAGTTACATCCTGTTTTTGTTTTTATTTCTCCATAAAGAGGTAAAATTAAAAAATGTAAAATAATTTCCTTTCAGGTGCCTAGTAGACGGGAGGCAGGATTTGGTCTCCTCCGCCTTCCTCTCCCCTCGACCCCAGGAAGACTCTTTGCGCTTTACAGTGGATGCTTTCAGATTTTCCGGCGACCCTACCAATCTGGTAAGAATATTTTTCTCTAGCAAACTATTGAAGTGTGGTACTATTGGATTTTTTTAAAAAAAATATCGTATTTACTCTAGTCCAATGCACCACTGAATCTGAAATAGAGGTTCCTGGAGGAGCTTCCTCTTTAGTTTTGGCTCAGCGCTAAGATTATCGTAATTTTACTTAGGCGATCCCTTGTTGTCCGAGGATGATGGTCAAGTGATGTGTCTTGGCAATGGTTACGTAGGTGACTGTGGAGCCCTATTCTTGATCCGCATGTTCTTTTGCAGTGAGGACCGGTTTCCAGGTGGAAGTCAGTCCCAGTTGGAGTTGGCTTGATGCACCTTCTTCCTCTTGGCACATTTCTCTCTTTCACCCTCCATTCGTGCCTCTTCAAATTCTACAGCACTGCTGGTCACAGCTGACCTCCAGCTGGAGCGCTCAAGGGCCAGGGCTTCCCAGTTCTCAGGGTCTATGCCACAGTTTTTAAGGTTGGATTTGAGCCCATCTTTAAATCTCTTTTCCTGTCCTCCAAAATTCTATTTTCCATTCTTGAGTTCAGAGTAGAGCTTTGGGAAACGTTGACTGGGCATTTGGATAACGTGGCCGGTCCAGCAAAGTTGATGGCAGAGGAGCATCGCTTCAGTGCTGGTGGTCTTTGCTTTTTCCAGCACACTGATGTTTGTCAGCCTGTCTTCCCAAGAGATCTGCAGAATTTTCTGGAGGCAGCGCTGATGGAATCGTTCCAGGAGTTGCATGTGACGTCTGTAGACAGTCCACGTTTCACAGGCGTAGAGCAGGGTTGAGAGAACAGTGGCTTTATAATCAAGCACGTTGATCTCCCTAGATGTCCCGGTCCTCAAACGCTCTCTGCTTCATTCGGGAAAATGCTGCACTCGCAGAGCTCAGGCGGTGTTGTATTTCAGTGTCAGTGTTGACGTCTGTAGACAGTCCACGTTTCGCAGGCATATAGCAGGGTTGGGAGGACAATAGCTTTATAAACAAGCCCCTTGGTATCCCTACGGATGTCCGGTCCTCAAACACTCTCTGCTTCATTTGGAAAAATGCTGCACTCGCAGAGCTCAGGCGGTGTTGTATTTCAGTGTCAATGTTGACTTTTGTGGAGAGGTGGCTGCCAAGGGAGCGGAAATGGTCAACATTTTCTAATATTACACCATTCTGGCATTGGAGAGGGATTGGCTGGTGACTGCTGGAAGAGCACTTTGGTTTTTTCGATGTTCAATGACAGGCCGAGCTTCTCGTATGCTTCTGTGAAGGTGTTTAGAGTGGCTTGTAGGTCTTCTTCTGAATGCGCACAGATGACGTTGTCATCAGCATATTGGAGTTCTATAACAGATGTTGTTGTGACCTTGATTACTGTATTACATGGATCTAATGCACACCTGAATTCCGGCCAGGTCATTTAGGCAAAAAAGGTGAGCATTAGATTCGAGTTGATAAGGTAACTTAACAATTCTTATTACTATTACTAGCTGTGCCCTGCCACGTGTTGCTGTGGCCTATAGTAAGAATTTTCAAAGTAGAGGTAGATATCTGGACTATTATGAAAGAGCCGTACCTACCTATTCCTTCCCCCCTTTTTCTTCCCCTTCCCCTCCTTTCTTCCTTCTCTACCTCTTTTTTCATTCCTTCTTTTGCTCTTTGGTTTCATCTTTCCTTCTCTCTTTCCTTCCTTCCCTTCCCCTTTCTCTACTTCTTCCTTTGCCTCCTTTCTTCCCTCCCTGTTTCCTTCCTTCTTTCACTTTCCTTTTCTCCTTCCTTCCTTCTTTACTTCTTTCCTGCCTTTCCTCCCCTTTTTCTTTCCTTTCTACTTTGTATTCTTCCTTCTGTACCTCTTTCTTTCCTTCTTTCTCTCCCTTCCTTCCCTCTTTCCTTCCCTCCTTCCTTCTTTCCCTCCCTCCTTCTCTCTTTCCTTCCTTCCCCCTTTCCCTCCTACATTCCTTCCTTCTTTCCCTTCCTCCTTTCTTCTCTCCTTCCTTCCTGTCCTCCCGCAATACTATGGTAAAGTCCCTTCTAATTCTATTCTATGAGTCTATTTAATATAGTAATATATTGAATTTAAAGGTATTTTTGTGGGGTTTTTTTCAGTGATGGTCACTCCTTGGATTGTGAGGAGTTTTGTTGCCAAATTTGGGGTCATTTGACCCAGTAGTTTTTTTTTTGTTTTTAATGTACTTATAATGCACAGAGCATTTTTATATATATAGATTATTGAACTTCCAAAAAGTCACTAGGCAGTCATTCTAGTGGGAGGATGCTGGGTGTTGGAGTCCCGTAACACTTAACCCTTTCAGTTATAAAATGGTACCGAACTGCATCCACTCCACAGTGTAGATGCAACCCAAGGTCATTATTTCAGCTTTGAGCCTTTGTTCTCACCCAGATTGGGTCTTTCAAGACTTTCTGCACACTCTTTGTTTCCCTCCTAGATCTACATCACATGCCGCTTGAAAGTCACTCCTGCAGAGCAGGCGCCGGACGAAGTAAACAAAGCATGCTCATTCAGTGCAGAAACCAACAGGCGAGTACCTAATTTTCCTACTTGACAGACGCAACTGTCTTTCGGGTTGCAAAGGTCGACAACAGGCTACACACAATTGGTTGGAAACCCACTCCAACCCGGGCTGGCTTCGAACTCATGACCTTTTGGTCAGAGTGATCTTAATGCAGCTGACACACAATCCTGGTGCATACATCTGTGTTTAAGATGGATCGGTAATCAGCTGGTTTCCCCTGTAATAGGCAGTAAGAGCATCTCTAAAGCTTTGGAGAGCTTCTGTTCAACCTTTTCAAAGCTCTCTGCTTGAGTGGTGATGGCACGATCGTCAGCATAGACGAAGCTCTCTGTCCCTTCTGGCAGTGGCTGGTCATTTGTGTAGATGTTGAACATGGATGGAGCAAGCACGCTCCCTTGAGGCAGGCCGTAAGCGACTTGCAGAAAGAAGAATGTGGGAGGAGGAAATGGAAAGTAGGGGGAAATGCAATGAAAAGAGATATATATTTTTTGCGATTATTTCCAATCTGGAGTGTGGTTTGGGAGTCAAGTTTTATTAATTGCCTCCTGCCCTGAGATCTGTACTCACAGCATTCTTTAATGGGCACCAGCTGTTGTTTAAATACTCCAATCAATAGCAGCTGCTCTGAGGTTACTCTCAACAGGTTTACAGGAAGAACAAGAAGTCCTCAGAGCCTTGGAAACGTTAATAAGATGTTTAGGGTAAAGGGAAACCTGTAGTTCTTAAAATTAATATGTTATAATATATCATATATATATCTATATAAATAAAAATGTAATGTTCGTTTGTGGGATTAACAGAACTCAAAAACCACTGGACGAATTGACACCAAATTTGGACACAAGACACCTAACAACCCAATGTATGTCCTTCACTCAAAAACCATGATTTTGTCATTTGGGAGTTGTAGTTGCTGGGATTTGTAGTTCACCTACAATCAAAGAGCATTCTGAACCCCACCAACAATGGACTTGAACCAAACTTGGCACACCATTCTCCCATGACCAACAGAAAATACTGGAAGGGTTTGGTGGGCAGTGTCCTTTGGTTTTGGAGTTTTAGTTCACCTACATCCAGAGATCACTGTGGACTCAACAATGATGGATCTGGACCAAACTCTACATGAATACTCAATATGCTCAAATGTGAACACTGGTGGAGTTTGGGGAAAATAGAATCTTGACATTTGGGAGTTGTAGTTGCTGGAATTTATAGTTCACCTACAATCACAGAGCATTCTGAACCCTACCAACGATAGAATTGGGCCAAACCTCCCACACAGAACCCTCATGTGGGCCACAGCAACACGTGGCAGGGGATGGCTAGTGTGTGTGTGTGTATATATGTATGTATATATATATATCATATTCGGCTACGAGTGATTGCCTATAGCAGGCACAGGCAAACTTCAGCCCTCCAGGTGTTTTGGACTTCAAGTCCCACAATTCCTCACAGCTGGTGGGAGTTGGAGTCCAAAATACCTGGAGGGCTGAAGTTTGCCCATGCCTGGCCTATATCATCATTATTATTATTATTATTATTATTATTATTATTATTATTATTGCTACTATTATTATTATTACTATTATTATTATTACTATTATTATTATTACTATTATTAGAAAAACAACAAGATGAGTCCACAGCAGACACTCTGCTGGCTGTTGTATTGGATCACACGTCGGACACTTCCCAAGTGTTTAGGACTGTGTGATGTATCGGCAAATAATGTGTGCAGATGCCAGTAAGGTGGCCTTTTGCAGCTGGCAAATGGTAATCTTGTCAGCGCCGATTGTGTTTAAGTGCAGGCCAAGATCTTGAGGCACTGCACCACTGGGACCACCTTGACTGGCTTGTGCCAGACTCTTTGCAGTTCGATCTTTAAATCCTCATATCATGTCAGCTATTATTATTATTATTATTATTATTATTATTATTATTATTTATTTCCCTAGGTCTGCCTTCCCACCATTGAGAGGCTTGACAACCAACTTATTATTATTATTATTGAATTAATTATTTTGTTATCTGTTTCTCCTCAAAGCAGGATACTTAAAATACACAGATAACACAAAAACCGTAAAATACATCTATCAAAAACCACAGAACAAATCATTTCCCCATGTTGGGGGATTCTGGGTGTTGTAGTCCAAGCATAAAACCCCCTAGCTCTATATAAAGTCTGTCTTGAAGGCAAAGGGACCTTCAGAGAAGTTAGAAACATCACATTTATAGAGAAAATTAGGAGTACAATAAAGCCTCCAATTCCCATAAGTTCCCCAAATTTGGGGATTATGGGAGTTGCAGTCATAGAATCAAAGAGTTGGAAGAGACCTGCCAAGAAGCAGGAATATTGCATTCAAATCACCCCTGACAGATGGCCTTCTCTTCTTCCGGCTAAACATACCCAGCTCCTTAAGCCGCTCCTCATAGGGCTTGTTCTCCAGACCCTTGATCATTTAAGTCGCCCTCCTCTGGACACATTCCAGCTTGTCAATATCTCTCTTCAATTGTGGTGCCCAGAATTGGACACAATATTCCAGGTGTGGTCCAAAGCTGAACTGTCCTTGGTTCTGTGTAAGGACTATTCTGAAGGCAAGAGACCTCCGTAGAAGTTGTAAATAATGAACTTCTAAAGCAATGTTTTGTTGAATCATATGGAAGGTATTCATACACCCAAAGGTCATCTAGTCTGACCCAGTTCCATTGCTGATCCTAAAGTATCCTTAAGCAATTACCCCACCCATTATCTGTTCGTTAACCTCAATTGAAAGAAACCCCGCTTTCTAAGAGTGTCTGTTTTGGTGTCTAGGAGGAACTTTTTGGTGGCCAACACCATTAATGTTCAACCCAAACCTTCTACCTTATACTATGTGCAATTTTTAGGAGGAGGAACTCCAAAAGCTCTTCAGGTATGTTTCCTGGATGGGGCAGGTGGGAACCCCTTTGTTCTAATGCCTTATTTCTCTTTGCCAAACTACAACTCCCAGCTGGCTCCCCGTGGAGGGCGCCCGGAGCATCTGCCATTGTTGTGAGAGTCAGAGCTGTGGCCGTGCTTTGGAGCTTCCGTCCCATCGCTTGAACCCCAGGTTCGAAATGAGTTGGCAAAGAAGCCTGCCAGGTAATGCGAGTCCTTTTGGCTCTTCTTCTTCATGGCTTGTGGGTGCGTTGGAACGCAGCTCCCATCTTCCCCAGCCATGGTGTCTTCTGGTTTGGTAGAAGAGGGTTGGACTGGATGGCCCTTGAGGGTGTCATCCTATTCTAAGATTCTATGATTGTATATCTCTATTATTATTATTATTATTATTATTATTATTATTATTATTATTATTTATACCCCGCTTTTCCTCTCCACAAGGAGACTCAAAGTGGCTATCATATCTGGATGGCTATCAGTTGGGAGGGCTTGGATGGTGTTCTCCTGCCTGGTAGAAGGTGGCTTTACTGGATGGCCCTTGGGAGTCCCATCCCATTCTAGGATATACCTATCCTATATCTACATCAATATTTATATGTCGTATCACATCTATAGCTGGATGGCCATCAGTTGGGAGGGCTTGGATGGTGTTCTCCTGCCTGGTAGAAGGTGGATTGACTGGATGGCCCTTGGGAGTCCCATCCCATTCTAGGATATACCTATCACATATATATACATGTAATATGTCGTATCACATCTACAGCTGGGTGGCCATCTATCGGGAGGGCTTGGGTGGTGTCTTATTGCCTGGTAGAAGGGAGTTGGACTGGATGGTCCTTGGGGGGTGGGGAGGAAGTCTCATCCCACTCTAGGATATACATTTGATATATAAACTGTATTTCTCAATCATATGATGTCTATGGCTGAGTGGCCATCTGTCAGGAGTGCTTGGATGGTGTCTGCCTGCCTGGTAGAAGGGAGTTGAACTGGATAGTTCTTGGGGGGGGGGGGGGAGTCTCATCCCACTCTAGGACTCTAAGAGATAGATAGATAGATAGATAGATAGATAGATAGATAGATAGATAGATAGATAGATCTCAGATCATGTCTATGGTTGAGTGGCCATCTGTCAGGAGGGTTTGGATGGTGTCTTTCTTCCTGATAGAAGGGGGTTGGACTAGATGGTTCTATTGGGGGGGGGGTCTTATTCCACTTTAGGATTCTAGAATATACCTATGATATATTTTTCTCAATCATACCATGTCTATGGCCATCTGTCAGGAGGGCTTGGATGGTGTCTTCCTGCCTGGTAGAAGGGGGTTGGACTTGGATGGTCCTGGGGGAGTGTCTTATTCCACTCTAGGACTCTAGAATATACCTATGATATATCTTTCTCATTCATGTCTATGGCTGGGTGGCCATCTGTCAGGAGGTCTTGTGGTGTCTTCTGGTTTGGTAGAAGAGGGTTGGACTGGATGGCCCTTGAGGGTGTCATCCTATTCTAAGATTCTATGATTGTATATCTCTATTATTATTATTATTATTATTATTATTATTATTATTATTATTATTTATACCCCGCTTTTCCTCTCCACAAGGAGACTCAAAGTGGCTATCATATCTGGATGGCTATCAGTTGGGAGGGCTTGGATGGTGTTCTCCTGCCTGGTAGAAGGTGGCTTTACTGGATGGCCCTTGGGAGTCCCATCCCATTCTAGGATATACCTATCCTATATCTACATCAATATTTATATGTCGTATCACATCTATAGCTGGATGGCCATCAGTTGGGAGGGCTTGGATGGTGTTCTCCTGCCTGGTAGAAGGTGGCTTTACTGGATGGCCCTTGGGAGTCCCATCCCATTCTAGGATATACCTATCATATATCTACATCAATATCTATATGTCGTATCACATTTATAGCTGGATGGACATCAGTTGGGAGGGCTTGGATGGTGTTCTCCTGCCTGGTAGAAGGTGGATTGACTGGATGGCCCTTGGGAGTCCCATCCCATTCTAGGATATACCTATCCTATATCTATATCAATATCTATATGTCGTATCACATCTATAGCTGGATGGCCATCAGTTGGGAGGGCTTGGATGGTGTTCTCCTGCCTGGTAGAAGGTGGATTGACTGGATGGCCCTTGGGAGTCCCATCCCATTCTAGGATATACCTATCACATATATATACATGTAATATGTCGTATCACATCTACAGCTGGGTGGCCATCTATCGGGAGGGCTTGGGTGGTGTCTTATTGCTTGGTAGAATGGAGTTGGGGTCTCACCCCACACTAGGATTTGGATATACCTATCATACATCTTTCTCAACCATATCATGTCTATGATTGAATGGCCATCTGTTGGGAGGGCTTGGGTGGTGTTCTCCTGCCTGGTAGAAGGTGGCTTGACTGGATGGCCCTTGGGAGTCCCATCCCGTGGGGGGGGGGGGGGGGGGGTGGGGGGGGGGGGGGGGGGGGGGGGGGGGGGGGGGGGGGGGGTGGGGGGGGGGGGGGGGGGGGGGGGGTGGGGGGGGGGGGGGGGGGGGGGATGGTGTTCTCCTGCCTGGTAGAAGGTGGATTGACTGGATGGCCCTTGGGAGTCCCATCCCATTCTAGGATATACCTATCACATATATATACATGTAATATGTCGTATCACATCTACAGCTGGGTGGCCATCTATCGGGAGGGCTTGGGTGGTGTCTTATTGCTTGGTAGAATGGAGTTGGGGTCTCACCCCACACTAGGATTTGGATATACCTATCATACATCTTTCTCAACCATATCATGTCTATGATTGAATGGCCATCTGTTGGGAGGGCTTGGGTGGTGTTCTCCTGCCTGGTAGAAGGTGGCTTGACTGGATGGCCCTTGGGAGTCCCATCCCATTCTAGGATATACCTAATATATATATCTATATCTACACACACACACACACACACAATATGTCATATCACATCTATAGCTGGATGGCCATCTATTGGGAGATCTTGAATGGTGTCTTATTGCTTGTTAGAATGGAGTTGGGGTCTCACCCCACACTAGTATGTGGATATACCTATCATACATCTTTCTCAATCATATCGTGTCTATGACTGAATGGCCATCTGTTGGGAGGGCTTGGATGGTGCCTTCCTGCCTGGTAGAAAAAGGTTGGTTTGGATGGCCCTTGGACTGATTCTATGACTGAGGAGGGTTGCTTCATAGAGGTGGGATCCTAAAGGGTCATCTAGGGTCATGCAAGGTCTGTACTGGGGAAGCATCCTTGAGAGGTGTCCACCCAACCACCCCAAAACCTTACCTGCCCTCCTCTTTCCTACATGGCCCACCTGGATCCCCAAGACTCACTCACCTGTCCCTTGTTTCCTTTGTTGCCCAGTGGGGACGGACGCTAGCCACGCTCGACTGGTCCTGGGCCCGATCCTCGTCTCCGATGCCCACGAGAAGGTCCTTGCAGAAGAGGAAGAGGAGGAGGAAGGCGACAACGAGGTGGTCCTGGAAGGTAAATAGGGCGAACGTGAACGGCGTGGGTGGTCTTCACAAGCTTCCCAGGAACTGTGACACTCTCTCGGCTTCCTGGAACAGCTGGTCCAGAAAGAGAAAGGGAGTTTCACTTCCCCAATTTGGAAGAGGAAAGCCACATTAAGGGCCACTTCCCACATGTTGCCCCTTCCACTGGAAATGCTTCTTTTGCTTTCCAAGCATTTTGCAAAAAAAATGCTCATTCAGCTAAAAAAACGTTTCCATTTGAGTTATGAAAACAATCATAGCAACATATGATAATTTGAACCTGCAGCATCAGAACATAGGGTGCATCTACACTGTAGATTTAGTGGAGTTTCATACTACTTTCACTGCCACGGCTCAGTGCTATGGGATCCTAGGAGTTTGTAGTTTAGCCATCCACCAGCGCTCTTTGGCATGGAAGGCAAAAAAGACCTTGTGAAACTACAACTCTCACAAAATATCTTGTCAAACTACAACTCCCACAAAATAATAATAATAATAATAATAATAATAATAATAATAATACTTTATTTGTACCCCGCTACCATCTCCCAAAGGATTCGGTGCGGCTTACATGAGGCCGAGCCCACAACACAGCAATAACAAAAGCAAAAACAACAGTAATACAAGCAGTAAATAAAACTCATAACAGAAAATAAGCAATAAACATTAACAAAAAGACATTGTGAAACTACAACTCCTACAAAGGGCTTTGTAAAACTACAACTCCCACAAAGGATCTTGTGAAACTACAACTCCCACAAAGGACCTTGTGAAACGACAACTCCCACAAAGGACCTTGTGAAACTACAACTCCCACAAAAAGGACCTTGTGAAACTACAACTCCCGCAAAAACCATTGTGTAAGTACAACTCCTGCAAAGGACCTTGTGAAACTACAACTCCTGCAAAAAAAAGTCCTTGTGGAATGACAACTCCCACAAAAATGCTTTTTACAGGGTTTTTATAATGTGTGTTTAATTGTTTTTAATTTTATTTTAATTTTATGTTCAATGTGGCATCGAATCGGGCCAGGGTAAGACACCATGAGTCGCCTTCGGGCTGAGAAAGGCGGCATAAAAAATGCAGTAAATAAATAAATAAATAAATAAATAAGTCGTTGTGAAACTACAACTCCCGCAAAAACACACTTGTGAAACTATAACTCCTGCAAAAAAAAACCACTTGTGAAACTACAACTTCTGCAAAAAAAACCACTTGTGAAACTACAACTCCCACAAAAAACCACTTGTGAAACTACAACTCCTGCAAAAAAAAAACCACTTGTGAAACTACAACTCCTGCAAAATAAAACACTAGTGAAACTGCAACTCCCTCCAAAAATCTTGTGAAACTACAACTCCCATAATTCCATAGCACATAGCCACGGCAGTTCAACCTGCATTAATTCTCCTGTCTAGATGCACCCCAGGATCTCTTTCTGACCTGTTTTGCTCTTCTTGTAACCACAGAGGAATTCCTACCGGTGATCGAAACCAAGACGGAGGGAACCGGAACTCGGATCCCCTTCAAAGAGCAGCAGAAAGGAACCACCAATACTTCAGAAGAGGAGGTTAAGCCAGGACTGCCTCGGGAAGGTGGGTTTGTTAGTCAACTTCTGTTTAAATCCAAATTTGGGGAAAAAATAGAGCAGAACAGCAGCTGTCGGTATTGTCTGGGTCAGCAGGCTGCAAATCCACTCCAGGTTTTATGCCTTTGGCCCAAATAGTTTCAGCGCCCTTAGAGCTATCCAAAACCTGGAGTGCATGTGACGGCACGTCAGGCCCCACTTGTATGTGAATGTACAGTTGAATTATTTGGTTATCTATAGCTGTCAATCAGTGTTGTTTCACACTGGTTGACTTACTCCCCCAGCCCAATTGTTTGGCTCCACCCCCTCCTGGGGAAGAGGGCAGTGCTCTCTTTTCATTCTACCATCTCAGCAGATGGACGTGAGAAAGGCTTGGCTCTAAAGCCCTCTGTCAAGTCATCTCTCATAACCAATTCTTAAGTTTGCACTCTTAAGGTTCGGGCTTCATGTTCAGATCACCCTAGACGATGTTGAGGAATCTTAAGCGCCTTCAAACCAGTCCTTTGGCACCAAGAGGAAGAGTTTGTGCCTTCAAATCTAGGCTATTGGACTGGGGTTGTGAATGTTTAGGCCTTCACAGCCATTGAGAAAGAGGGAACTTGGAAAAGTTCTCAGCTGGAAAACTCCTTGGACCCAAGACTCCAAAGACTGTAATGTATATTTTCTTTACCTCTGTTGAAACATCAAGTTTATGCCTAAGGAAGATAACTCATTGTGAACAATAAAGCCTATTTCGAGTTATCTATAGTGTCTTGATCCTTGAGAGTTCCAGTTCTCTAAATTTATTATTTATCGTGTCAGGCAACTAAATAGTTGTATTACATTTTTGACAGAACAAACAAACAAACACACACACACACAAAAGACACAGAGTTTGCAAGATTGGTAGTTGATTAAATGTCCTTTGACCAGTATCTGGCCCCTTGGTGTTGCCGCAAGAAGGTCCTCCATTGTGCATGTGGCAGGGCTCAGGGTGCATTGCAGCAGGTGGTCAGTGGTTTGCTCTTCTCCACACTCGCATGTCGTGGACTCCACTTTGTGGCCCATTTCTTAAGGTTGGCTCTGCATCTCGTGGTGCCAGAGCGCAGTCTGTTCAGCGCCTTCCAAGTCGCCAGTTTTCTGTGTGCCCAGGGGGGAGTCTCTCATTTGGTAACAGCTATTGCTTGGGTTTGAGCCTGCCACTTTTGGACTCTCGCTTGCTGAGGTGTTCCAGCGAGTGTCTCTGTAGATCTTAGAAAACTATTTCTTGATTTAAGTCGTTGACGTGCTGGCTGATACCCAAACGGGATGAGCTGGAGATGTCTCTGCCTTGGTCCTTTCACTATTGGCTGCTACTTCCCGGCGGACGTCAGGTGATGCAATACCGGCTAAGCAGTGTAATTTCTCCAGTGGTGTAGGGCGCAGACACCCCGTGATAATGCGGCATGTCTCATTAAGAGCCACATCCAGTTTTAGTGTGGTGAGATGTGTTCCACACTGGGCATGCATACTCAGCAGCAGAGTAGCATAGCGCAAGGGCAGATGTCTTCACTGTGTCTGGTTGTGATCCCCAGGTTGTGCCAGTCAGCTTTTGTATGATATTGTTTCTCTAAAGGAGAGCAAGAAGCAATCCCCTTGGTAAAAGATGCCACGTCCATGTTTCTTTTACTAAGATCTATAGCCCCCAGGCGCGACGGCACAGTGCATCTACAACAGGCATGGGCAAACTTTGGCCCTCCGGGTGTTTTAGACTCCAGCTCCCACAATTCCTAACAGCCTAGGCTGTTAGGAATTGTGGGAGAGTCCAAAACACCCGGAGGGCCAAAGTTTGCCCGTGCCTGTTGTAGATGCACTGTCAAATTCATGAGGAAGCGGGAACTCTCTCAGGCTCATCCAATGTCTATTCTTAACCCTTCACAGCTTATGTCCGGGGAGGTCACATCGTCCACAGTGGCGAAGATGGCTCTGGATTTGGGGAGCAAGTCAAAGCAGTTGTGACAGGTATTAAAGCATAGAATTGGGGGACATTTCCTCATTTGGGAAGAGAGCGATGGATGGATGGCCTCAAGGTGGCCCCTAGGAACCAAACCGCCCTTTTCCTTTCCACAGAGAACACAGCCTTGGAATTCAAGGCCGAGGTTGTCTCCTGGCCTCTCGAAGATGGTCTCTCCTCCAGTACTTTGGGCAACGTCCCTTCGGAAGGGGTCAACCTGGCAGCGAAAGGTGAGATCCCCATATAAAATATTACCCCCTTCCCTACCTTGAATGTTGTGTTTGCCATGGGATGTCTGTCTGGGTGGCCATCTGTTGGGAGGACTTTGATTGTGTCTTCCTGCCTGGCAGAATGGGGATGGACTTTGGGGTCCTTCCCAACTCTATAACATCTTCCAGGATGCCTCTGTCTTGTAGAATGAATGCATGGCATAGTCCAATACTCAAACCATTAAATTTATTTATTTATTTATTTATTTATTTCTTGCACTTATTGACCGCCACTCTCAGCCCCAGGGGCGACTCGCATTGAGAATCACATTGAGAATCTATATATATATAAATGCTCTGTGCATAATGAGTGCCTTAAAAACAAAAGAACCAATGAACGAAATCACACCAAATTTGGTAACAAAACGTCTCACAACACAAGGAGTGACCATCACTCAAAAAAATATGATTTTGTCATTTGGGAGTTGTAGTTGCTGGGATTTATAGTTCACCTACAATCAAAGAGCATTCTGAACTCCATCAACGATGGAATTGAACCAAACTTGGCACACAGAACTCCCATGACCAACAGAAAATACTGGAAGGGTTTGGTGGGCATTGACCTTGAGTTTGGGAGTTGTAGTTCACCTACATCCAGAGAGCACTGTGGACTCAAACAATTATGGATCTGGACCAAACTTGGCACAAACACTCAATACGCCCAAATATGAACACAGATGGAGTTTTGGGAAAATAGACCTTGACATTTGGGAGTTGTAGTCACTGGGATTCACAGTTCACCTGCAATCAAAGAGCATTCCGAACCCCACGAACGACAGAATTGGGGCAAACTTCCCACACAGAACCCCCATGACCAACAGGAAATACTTAAGGTCATCCAATCCAACTCCCTTCATCAGGGCAAGAAAACGTAATCAAAGTCCTCCTGACAAAGAGCCATCCAGCCATAGATATAGATAGATAGATATGATACACACAGAGAGAGATAGTATCATAGATTTGAAAGGGACCCTTAAAGAAGGACAATGATATGTTGCATATTCCAGAGTAGGCAAACCAGACACTCTCCACATCAACACTGACAAAGAAACAGCAAGAAATGCTGGTTACGCACAAGCACAAAGAAATTACATATATTAGAAACCAACACTTTCTCATTACTTTATTTTCCAGATCAATAGACTGGGCCACAGCAACGCGTAGCAGGGGACAGCTAATTATAAATAGTCTTCCTTAAATTGGCAATGGAGAGCTAGCAATGGCTTG